TATCTCTTTATGTATCCATCTGCAGTTTCTCTATGACTACCTACCAGCTACTTATCTACCCTGTCTACCTACCATCGGCTGACTATGTTACGATATTGTTTATTTTGAATTGTTATTGTTTTGTATTTGCATTTCTTTGTTTATTTGGTTTTGTATTTGTTATAGAGAGATGGAGATGGAAAACTTGTGAAAACGTATATTGAAATAAACATGAGTAATTTAGGCTAATGGAATATATTTGTTATTTCTCTCTCTCTCTCTCTTGTCTTCTCTCTCTCTCTATTTATCTATCCAGTTATTTCCTCGTCCATTCTCCTCTTTCTCCATGCTTTGTCATCATCTCCATTTTCTTCGTCGTCGTCTTTATCTTCTTCCTCCTAATACTCCATCTGCTCTTTCTCCGTCTTTTCTTCCTTCTCTTCCTCCCTTTCCTCCTCCTCCTCCTCCTCCTCCTCCCCTCATTCTCTCGGTATCCATCTATCTATTTCTGTCTATATATATATCTCAAGGTATCTATTTCTGTCAATCTCTGTCTATGTTTCTCTATCTAATGCATTATTTTCCTCTTCCCCTTTTTTTCAGTAAAGTAATTTTTTTTCATCTTTCTCTCTCTCTCTCTCTCTCTTTTTCAACGTCAAGAATTTATTTTTGTTGCAAAACTGGTGGGAAAAAAAGAGAGAAAGAAAAAAAAATAACATACATTGCATAACAAACAGCATGAAAAACAAAAGAATTGTCATGAAGTCTGCCAAGTAGGCTGTCATAGAGTTTGTTGCCTGTCATCTTCACCTATTCTGTGCTTGCGAGTCATTGCTGTAGGTTGTTTATGTGCTGTGGGGACACGGGGTTATGGTTACAGGCATGTGCTGTATGTTGGTGTGTTTGAGACAGTGAGAGAGAGAGAGAGAATTTGTGTGTGTGATTGAGACAGGGAGTGAGAGAGAGAGAGAGTGAGTGAGAGAGTGTGTGTTTGTGAGAGAGAGAGAGAAAGAGAGAGAGAATTTGTGTGTGTGATTGAGACAGGGAGTGAGAGAGAGAGAGAGTGTGTGTGTGTGAGAGAGAGAGAAAGAGAGAGAATTTGTGTGTGTGATTGAGACGAGGAGAGAGAGAGTGAGTGTGAGTGTGTGTGTGTGAGAGAGAGAGAGAGAGAGAGAGAGTACGTGTGTGTGTGTTTGAGAGAGAGAGAGAGTGTACGTGTGTGTGTGTTTGAGAGAGAGAGAGTGTACGTGTGTATGTGTGTGTTTAAGCGAGAGAGTGAGTGTGAGTGTATGTATGTTTATATTTATGAATTATAATTTGCTAGCGCTTCTTCCCAAGCGTACATTTAAAGTACGGATCCCTGTCTGTGGCTGAGGATGTTCCTGTAAAAGTTTTTAAAAATACCATTTCGTCACCATTTGCTGTACAGCTAGTGATAAAAAAAATTACGAAAAATAGAAAATCCAGTTTTAGCTTTGGGTAGTCCATGGGGGTATTTCAGGGATTTTTTTTGTAATTTTTTTCTTCGAGTTCATGCTGGGCTGCGTGTTTCGTAAATTTGATGTTAGTTTTCTTTCGTCATGCTTGCATATAAATAATCTTTGGGGAATAATATATACAAACCTATATATAAATAGATATATATACATATGCATATTTATATTTATAGACCACACGCGCGCGCGTGCGCGTACCACACACACACACACACACACACACACGCACACGCACACGCACACACTCACTCACTCTATCACTCTATCACTCACTCTGTCATTAACACACTCACACTCACTCACTCACACACTCACTCACACACACTCACTCACACACACTCACACACACTCACTCACTCACTCACTCTACTACTAACACACACACGCACACTATTACTAACACATGCACACACACTCACTCACTCACTCACTCACTCACTCACTCTCTCTCTCACTCTATCACTAACACACACTCTATTCCTAACACACACACACACACACACACACACACACACACACACACACACACACACACACACACACACACACACACTATTCTTAATACACACACACACACACAAACACACACACACACACACACACACACACACAAACACACACACACACACACACACACACACACACACACACACACACACACACACACACACACACACACACACACAAACACACACGCAATAAACAGATTTACCTCGTGCATGTGTATCAAGTATATATGTGGGTAAAGGTACGTGTTTTGGTCACGATAAATGAGGCATAGCGAAGATAATTAAAGATTTTAAGTAATTACCGTGAAGTTAGGAGACTTAATGACTAAGAGCAAATACTGCGGACGAGTTGCAGTATTGCTAGCAAGTTAAGAAAGAAATGTGAAGGTGCTAGTCATGCCGTATAAGTTATTCTACTTTTCGTGGATTTGAGTGAAAGCCTGATATTTTTTTTCTTCTTCATCTTCGGCGTCTTCTCTTTATTCTTTTTTTTCTCCTTCTTCTTTTTCTTCTTCTTCTTGTTCTTCTTTTTCTCCTCCTCCTTCTTCTTTCCTCTTCTTTCTTCTTTTTTTTTCCCTTCCTCCTTTCCTTCTTCTTCTTCTTCTTCTTCTTCCTTCTCTCATCATTTTTTTCTTCTTCTTCACAATGTTAAGTATTGGAACTGATCTTTACGGTATAAAAAGAAAGATAAAACGTTCAAAATTTGTGTTGATTACTTGTGAATATTAATGATTGCATTGTTTTTTTATTTTGATTTTTATTATTACTTTTTTTTTTGGGGGGGGGGGTAATTCTGAATTGCATTGTGAGATGAATTTGATCGCTTTTGAATGATCAAAGGAAAAAATCGATGAAATTTGCAGAAAAAAAAACACAAGAGATGATGATAATAATAACGGTGATGATAATATTGATAGTGATGATAATAGTAAAAAAATATAATGATAACAGACCGGCAACAACAGTAATAATAATGATAACACTATCAACAGTAACAACAACAACAATAATAATAATAATAGTAATAATAATAATGATAATAATGCTAATGAAAATAATAATAATAATAAAAATAACAATAATAATGAAGTAAGAATGATAATAGTAACATTAATAGTAATATTAATAATAATAAAATAATGATAATAATAATGATATTGATAATAATTTAAAACCCTTCCACCATCCCCCGAGGAGAGGCAGCCTCAATACACGGAAGGGCGCTGGGGGGGGGGGGGGGGGAGAAGCATCTCAAGAATGAAGAGATGACGAGGGCGATGATGCCGGGATGCTGGAGATGCGGGGAGATGTCACGTGACTCCTTTGCGAAATCCTGTGCTTTTATTTATTATTATTATTATTATTATTATTATTATTATTATTGTTGTTGTTGTAGTAGAAGCATAAGTATCATCATTAGTATTAGCATTACCATTAGCGTTATTATCGTTATTATTATTATTATTGTTATTATTATTATTATTATTATTATTATTATTATTGTTATTATTATTATTATTATTATTATTGTTATTGTTATTATTATTATTATTGTAGAATCGTAAGTATCATCAGCAGCATGAGCATTACCATTAGCGTTATTGTTATCGTCATTATTATTATTATTGTTATTATTACTGTTATTGTTATTCTCAGCAGCAGCCGCATCGGTAGTGTAAAGAGTAAGAGTTATTAGTATTGGCAGTGGGTCGACTCAGCCTCTCTTCCCCTTCTCAACGGGCAGTGTGTCAGCTTACCCCCCCCCCCATTCCCCCAACGGGTAGTTTATCCCTTCCTCTTCCTTTCCTTCTTCCCTTCCCCCTACCCTCACTCTTTTCCTCCACCTCTCCCTCCCTTATCCTACCCTCTTCCCCTCCCCTTCTTCTCCCTCATCTTTCCCTCCCTCTTCCCCTCCTCCTTCCCTCCTTCCTCTCCCCCACCTCTTCTTCCTCTCCCCCACCTCCCTCTTTTTTCCCCTTCCCCTCCTCTCAGCGGTCATTGAGTCAACTTAGCTCACTTCCCCTCTCTCCTCTTCCCCCTCCTCCTCTCCCAGCAGGCAATGGTTCAGTACCCCACTCCCCTTCTCCCCCTCCCCCTCCCCCTCCCCATGTTGATTGAGTTAGCTCGGCGCCTCCACCCCCCCCCCCCATCTCTCACGGGGCAGTGGGTCACCTCAGCAGCTCATGCCCCTGCTCCTCTCCCGTCCCCCTCCCCCCTCCTCCAGTGGGCAGTGGGTCAGTTCAGCATTTGCACTTTCCCCTCACCGTCCCAGCAGGAGGGGTCAGTTCAAGCAACCCCCCTTCCCCCCTCCCCTCCCTCCATCCCCCTCTTCCAGTGGACAATGGGTCAGTTCATCAACTATCTCCCCTCCTCTCCCCTCCACCTCCCCCTCCCCCCTCTCTCTCCCTCTCCCAGCATCAGTAGGTCAGTTCAGCAACTCCCCCCCCCTCCTCTTCCTTCTCCTCCCCCTCCCCCTCCCCTCCCCCTCTCTAAGTGGCCAGTGGGTCATCTCAGCAGCCCTCCCCCCTACACCCCACCCCCCCCTCCTATCTCCTCCCCCAGCGCCTCACATTCTCTTATGGTCGGCCTTGCCACGCACCCGATGGAATAATAATAATAAAAAAAACTAGTTACTTTCGAGAAAATGCCAAATCGGAAGGAACTGTGTAGGCTATTTTCAGGGAGGGAAGACCTGAGTCAAATTTACCTGTCTTTCTTTCTTTCTTTCTTTCCTTTTTCTTTTTCTTTTCTTTTTATTAAATTATATGGTGGTTGGTAGTTTATCAGGTGCAGGGTATAATTGTGTCTTAAGAAAACGATATAACATTTATTAATTACAAATGATAACTGCGCACATTAACGAACTCCCTCGTAGAATGTATGGACGTCGGCTGAACGGTCTTCCGATAAGAAATAAGGAAAAAAAAACACAGCCTGGCAACCCCCGCCAGCTGATCCCAAGAGGTTAGACGTTCACTTGTGTGTTTATGTCAGTGCCGCTCAGGCGTTACTCGTGTGTGTACGGTCCTTTCGTCGCTCCCCGTTCTCACGTGGCTCGGACGTGTTTTCAGTGGGTCATGCGCTCGTGCTGATCAACCTGTTTGGTGTTTGTCTGTGTTATTATTATTTTTTTTAAGTGTCTTCTGTTTCTGTTACTGGAGGCGTTCTACAGGAGATGCTGCTGACGTCCTGCCTGAGAATTTAACAAATCGAAAAAGAAAGAAAGAAAGGAAGAAAAAAAAGAAAACTATATAATAATCATAAAAGGCAGAAGAAGACGCTCACTTTCAACGAAGGGACACGGTGAGTACACATCACACACACACACACACACACACACACACACACACACACACACACACACACACACACACACACACACACACACACACACACACACACACACACACACACACACACACACACACACACATACACACATACACACATACACACATACACACATACACACATACACAAACCCCCTCCCTTTGCATCGGCACACACACACACACACACACACACACACACACACACACACACACACACACACACACACACACACACTCGTTACACTAAGTGTGACCAGCAGCAACAGTAATCGCGGCTGTACTTTCACTGATGTAGGCGAGAGCAGGCGGCCGCGTTCGGGGGTGCTGTACGAGGCGCGAAGGAGGAGGAGGAGGAGGAGGTGGAGGAGGAGGGAAGAGTGAAGAGTGAGAAGGAAGGGAGAGGGAAGGGGGTGAGGAGGAGGAGGAGGAGGAGGAGGAGGAGGAGGAGGGAAGAGTGAAGAGTGAAGAGTGAGAAGGAAGGGAGAGGGAAGGGGATGAGGAGGAGGAGGTGGAGGAGGAGGAAGAGGGAAGAGTGGAGAGTGAAGAGTGAGAAGGAAGGGAGAGTGAAGGGGGTGAGGAGGAGGAGGAGGAGAGAAGAGTGAAGAGTGAAGAGTGAGAAGGAAGGGAGAGGGAAGGGGGTGAGGAGGAGAAGGTGGAGGTGGAGGAGGAGGTGGAGGGAGGAGGGAGGAAGAGGAAGGAGGAGGTGGAGGTGGAGGTTTAGGTGGGGAAGGAGGTGGAGGAGGAGGAGGTGGAGGAGGAGGAGGAGGAGGAGGAGGGGGGAAGAGTGAGAAGGAAGAGAGAGGGAATGGGATGAGGAGGAGGAGGAGGAGGGAAGGGGGTGAGGAGGAGGTGAAGGAGGAGGAGGATGGGGGAGGAGGAGGTGGAGGGAGGAACAGGGAAAAGGGATGAATGAGAATGAATAAAAGTCATTCACTGATCGAGCTATGTATGTTTTGCGTGTGCGTGCTTGGCCTGTGCGAAAGGGAGGGGGGTTGTGTGTGTGTGTGTGTGTGTGTGTGTGTGTGTGTGTGTGTGTGTGTGTGTGTGTGTGTGTGTGTGTGTGTGTGTCTATGCGCTTGTTTGTCTGTCTGTCTGCCGACGTTTTTTTTTTTTTTTGGAGTTGCTGGACGTCTGCCGATATACGGGGAGAGGGAAGGGTGGGGGTATATATGTATGAGAATTCGATCTTTATGCTTGTCTGTCTGTGTATTTTAGTACGCGTGTGTGTATTTTATACATATGCATATAATTTATGAACATATGCACATGTACATAGATAATCATATATCCATACCTGCATGTGATTACTTTTTTTTTCTATATACAAGTTATACTAACAAAACAATGATTAATACGTACCACCGTCATATCACTGCCTGCGCGTCGGTTGAAAAACGCCCTTTCTTGAAGTAGAGGAAGACCGGAATGCGGCCGATTTCAACGTCCAAATGTTGGCTCGGGAAATCAGTGTTAACAGAGGAATATATTTCTTATCAGTTATTATTATTATTATTGTTATTATTATCATTAGTATCATTATCATTATTATCACCATGAACATCATCGTTGTTATTGTTGTCATGGTTATTATTAGTTATTATTATCATCATCATTATCATCATTACTGTTATCATTAAAGTTGTTAGTTTTGTTCTTGTTGCAATGACGATCAACATTATCATCTTTGTGTCTTGTTGCTATTCTATTTATCTGTTTATCTGTTTCCTGAGACGGGCAGGACGAGGAGGCAGTGGAAAGACCGGGTCACACTGGGTCGCGACTCTGCCCTGGGAGATTGAGCGAACAGGGTGTCTAGTTTCGGGCGTATGTCTCTGTTATCTGTGTCTGTCTGTCTCGCTTTCTCTGTCTCTGTCTGTTTGTTTGTCTGTCTCGCTTTCTCTGTGTCTGTCTGTACTTGTCTCGCTCTCTGTCTGTATTTCTCTCTCTCTCTCTCTCCCTCCCTCTCCCCTCTCCCTCTCCCTCTCCCCCCCTCTCCCTCTCCCCCCCTCTCCCCCCTCCCTCACTCTTTCTTCCTCTTTCTCTAATTCCCCTTCCTCTTTCGTTCTTCTGCTGTCTCTCCCTTTGTTCCATTTTCTTTCACTCTCTTCCTATTCATATCGTCTCTTTTTCTATTTCTCTCCCTCCCATTTTTCTCTCTTCCTCTCTCTTTCTGTTCACATGTTCTCTTTCTCCCACTCCTTCTTATTTTCTCTCTTTCTCACTCTGCTTCTCTATCTTTCCCACTCTGTCCCTTTCTTCTTCTGTCTTCTTCTCTCGAAAGGAGATGCGAAAAGTGGTGAGAGGGTATAAAGGAGAGAAAGGGAGGAGAGAGAGAAGGGAAGAAGGTAAGAAGTATATAGAAAGAGTAAAGGCGAGAGAAAGAGGGAGAGGGAGAGAGAAAGAGACAGAGAGAGAGAGAGAGAGAGAGAGAGAGAGAGAGAGAGAGAGAGAGAGACAGATAGAGAGAGAGAGACAGAGAGGGAGAAAGAGAGAGAGAGAGAGAGACTGAGAGAGAGAGAGAGAGAGAGAGAGAGACAGAGAGGGAGAGAGAGAGAGAGAGAGAGAGAGAGAGAGAGAGAGAGAGAGAGAGAGAGAGAGAGAGAGAGAAAGGGGAGAAAGAAAAAGAGATTAAGGGCAGAGCAGCATGAGTCAGAGAAAAGGGATGACCGAAAAGAGAGAAAGAGAAGGAAAAAAAGAGGCAAAGGAGAGAGAGTAAGCGAAGAAAGAAGAGAGATAAAGGGAATGAATAAAAAAGGAGCGAGAGATGACCTGAAACGATAACGAGTGCATTTTGGAGTTGCTTCGGAGCTGGAAGAGCGGCGGAGTGAGGAGAGGCGAGGAGGGAGTAAAGGAAAAAACTACTTTGGAGTTGGCAGGGAGTGGAGTTGAGTAGAGCAGACCAAAGTGGAGTGGAGTAGAACAGAGCAGAGCAGATCGGAGTGGGATGGAATAGAGCAGATCAGACCGGAGTGGAGTGGAGTAGAGCAGAGCAGATCAGATCGGAGTGGAGTATAGCAGACTGGACTGGAGTGGAGTATAGCAGACTGGACTGGAGTGGAGTAGAGCAGACTGGACTGGAGTGGAGTAGAGCAGATCGGAGTGGAGTGGAGTAGAGCAGATCGGAGTGGAGTGGAGTAGAACAGATCAGATCGGAGTGGAGTAGAGCAGACCGTAATGGAGTGGAGTAGAGTAGGCTAGAGTGGAGTGGAGTGGAGTAGAGCAGATCGGAGTGGAGTGGAGTAGAGCAGATCGGAGTGGAGTGGAGTAGAACAGATCAGATCGGAGTGGAGTAGAGCAGACCGTAATGGAGTGGAGTAGAGTAGGCTAGAGTGGAGTGGAGTAGAGCAGAGCAGACCAGAGTGGAGTAGAGTGGAGTGGACTGGAGTGCGCGCGGGCGGGAGGACCTTTCTCCCGCGGTAATGTTACGTCTCATGCAGCGTCTCGGATTTCCCGCCGTACTCGCGAAGCCCGAACGCGCGCGGCCGGCGAAGGAGGGAGCCAGGGATAGGAGGGCGGGGTAGGAGGCCGGGGTAGGAGGCCGGGGTGAGGCTGCCTGCGCCCTCTCGCCCCGCGTCTCGTCTCGTCTCTCTCTCGCGTTTCTCGTCTTATCTCGCCGCCTTCTTCCTTTTCTTCTTGTTTGAGTTCCTTTTTTTCTCTCTCTCTGATTCTTCTATTTTTGTTTATGTTGTTTTCACTTCTCTACTCTGTTATTTTATATTATTTAATATTCTCTTCTCTTCTCTTCTCTTTTCTTCTCTTTTCTTTCCTCTCTCTCTCTCTCCTCTCTTCTCATCTCTTCTCAGTTTTCACCTCTCTCCTCTCTCTTCTCTTCTCTTTCTCTCCTCTCTCCCTCCCTCCCTCCCTCCCTCCCTCCCTCCCTCCCTCCCTCTCTTCTCTCTCTCTCTCTCTCTCTCTCTCTCTCTTCTTTCTTTCTTTCTCTTTCTCTCCCTCCCTCCCCTCCCCTTTCCCCCTCCCTCCATCCCTCCTTGCCTCCTTCTTCCCCTCTCTCTATCCCTCCTTCCCTCCTTCTCCCCCCCTCTCTCTCTACTTCACACCCTCCTCCTTTCCTTAACCCCCTTCTCTCTCCCTGTCTCCCTCCCTCCTCCCCCTCTCTCCCTCCCTCTCCCCCTCCCTCCTCCCCTTCTCCCCCTTAGTCCTCCCCCTCTCTCCCTCCCTTCTCCCCGTCTCTCCCTAACTTCCTCATTCCCTCACTTCTCGCTTCCTCCCTACCTCCCTTCTCTCTCCCTCCCTCCCTCCCTCCCTCACTTCTCTCCTTTCTTCCTCCTTCCCTTCTCTCTTCCTCCCTCCCTCCCTCCCTCCCTTCTCTCTCTCTCTTTCTCTTCCTTCGTCACCCAGTACTCCAGTCATGCAGAGAGTCAAGCTTCAAATACGAGACTTGCCCTTATGCCGCGGGGGGAGAGAGGCGTAAATTGCAAATCACATGCTCTTCTCCCCCAAGGAAGAGTGAGAAGGTAATGCTGGGGGAAATTTCTGAGGAAAAGTTGTTGTCATTGAAAGTGTGCATTTGTTTTGATTTTTTCGTTTGATTGTTCTCTCTCTCTCTCTCTCTCTCTCTCTCTCTCTCTCTCTCTCTCTCTCTCTCTCTCTCTCTCTCTCTCTCTCTCTCTCTCTATCTCATACACACACACGCACACACACACACACACACACACACACATATATATATATATATATATATATATATATATATATATATATATATACATATATATATATATATATATATATATATATATATATATATATATATATATATATTCATTCTGATTTTCTTGAATTCGTTGCTTCTCATGACGTCACTGTTAAGGTTCATATTCCATTTAAAAATTTTAAACAACACATTCACCTGAAAGCGCGGAACATTCTCTCGGTAGTGACAGTTGTCCCCTTATTTATTCACATTTCCTTATTCATTAATTTCACGTCCGCTTATTTCCTTCATTTGTTGTG